TGCCCCGGCCGCTGTAGTGAGCACTGGGCTGGGCCGGGGCCGATGTGTGCTTTGTGGAGCTGCTTTTGTTACAGTCTCGTTTTTGCTCATTTCTCTCTCAAGCTCGCAAACACAGAGGAATACATAGACGGTGCGTTGTCTGGACACCTGGGTGAAGTTTTGATAAGGTAATTGGGGTATTTATTTATTATGGAGGCAGGCTCTTTCTAAATCTTCTTACCAATTGTGTTAAAACTTGTGGTGGGTGTTGCATTTCTTGTCTAACTAAGAGGGCTTGTCTAACTACAGTAGGGCTATGAATGTGTGTCTTTTATGTTGAGGTCCCTTTTGAGGGGAGGAAAAACGGAACTTTTGAATATATTTCGAAAAGTATTTACTATCCCTTTTTTGGTGGGTAAAGCTTTAGTTTTCTGTGTTACTGTGTATCTGTTAATCCTTTGGTGTTGTACACTAGTGCGTTGCACCTGAAAACATTTCACATGCTTGGAAGTTAAACTTGACCATAACTGCTGACCCAGAAGTAAAAATTTTTTTGTACAGCATTGTCAACCAGTTACTACTTTTATAAGGGTTCACAATTGTAATGAACTTTGTGGAAAACCTGTACAAGGCCAACAGCAGCAATGTGTTATGCAGAATTTGGCTGCTGCCAGGCTACACACGAGCAGGAAAATGCTTAAAGCATCTTATGTGGGGAAAATGATAGCATTTACAGCTAAGAACTAATAGAACTCTTGATCTATTTACAGGTGCAATAATGTTTTGTACATCAGAGGTGTGGAAGAAGAGGAAGAAGATGGAGAAATGAGAGAATAGATGTTTTGTATTTCTGGAAATAAACTTTTTTTTTTCTTTCTGTTTTTCATACTTTTGTAATAAGGTGTTTACATTTTTCCTATTGTGTTTTAATATGGGGAAGTTAACCCTTTAAAAGGTCTTTAGTCTTATATTGGTGTCTGAAAAGCTAATGCTGGAGGAGCAACAGGTAATTATTTCATTTTAAAGCTGAAAATATTAAAATGAAAAGTGAGTATTTAAAAAATACCGGTTATCTTCCCATCTGAAACACAGGAAAACGTGGAAGTTCCTATATTTTACAGTATGTATGCAGTGACTATTTAAATACACTTCATCTTTAAACCTGTTTATAAACCATTTGGAAATAACTGGGAAGACTTCACTTCAGGTGAGATGTAGAGATCTGTTGTACCCCAGTGTCTCTCAGACTGTTGTACCCCAGTGTCTCCACTGCCTTGAGTCACAAAGCTTGAAGTGTGGCTGTACAGTCATTAAGGAAGGACAAATTTGCATCAACTTAGTAGCCAACAGCCACACAAAGCTCTTGGCAACTATAAAGGTCAGTAGACTTCAAATTGATAGAGTTGAGACAACAGACTGCAAAATGGGAGTGTGCTTTGTGACTCTGCTGGAAAATGGAGATGATACTGTTCTCCTGGGGGGTTCAGAAGTAAGAGAAGACATTCTGTTTAAAAGCTGCCCAGATCGTAGCTGTAGAAGAGAAGCTGCATGTGGAGTGCCGATCTCCAGGCCTGCCTGCTGGGATTGCACATCCTTTGAGAGACAGCTGGAGTGAACAGTGCTGGATGCTTTGGACTGCATTAGGATATAATACTGGTTGTGTAAATTGGGGGAAAAACACCAGCCTGCCAGGATAGATCCTGCAGAAAAATACTTCCCTGTTTGTTTCTCATGTTGGAAGTCATCCCTGTAGCTATGCATGTGTTCCTTTAATATTTGCATCTGTAAGTTGCCATAAAGAGTGACAAATCATTTTGGATGTACTTGTGAAGGTCTTTCATTACATAAACCAGGCCCTTCTTTTTGGCAGCTTGAGGGCTTACTTCTCAGCTCTGCTACAATCCCACTGGGAAAGGGAAAAGAGCTATTTAAATTAACATCAGTAGTATCACAAGGCTAGATAAGTACTTTTAAACTGGCAGTGAGCAACAACTAAATGTGTTCTTGGAACAGCTTTGGTGGCAGGAATGAGAGGCAAAAAAGTGTCATGTCTGATTTGTGATACAGCACAGGCTGTTAATGACTGTGTGATGCAGAACAGTGTCCTTCCTCTGCTGCCATCGAAGTTACAGTGGTATCAGTATTGGAGGAGAAAAAGCTGTGACTGTCATCTTAGTATGTAATCAGTTCCTTATCTGGAATGGGCCAGCACTGACCTGAAAGCTGCTCCTCCACATGAGGTGGAAGTGGGGCTGGAGGTGAGTTTAACATGTGTGATCTTTGCACTGGATCAGCAGGCAGCGCCATTACTGTGACAAATTACCAAGTGTTTTAGTCTTTCAGCTTTTCAGAATAACTGGGAAGGCTTAGCTTATGCTGAACCACTTTTATGTGTATAGATGAATGTGACTGGTTCCTCAACTGAACAGAGGCATACCTGTAGAAAGATGTCTGGAGTTGTGCTGTACAGCTAGAATGCTTAATTCCTGTCATGAGGGTAAAGAAAATGGTTTTGCCTTGCAGAGAGCTGAAGTCCTCCTGTGATTCATAGCACTTCCTCTGATTCCCTTCTGTGCTGGTTTAAGAGTTAACCAGCAGGGGAAATGAACTCAACTCAAAGGAGAGATTATAAGTCAGAATAACAATTTATTAAAATAATACAGTAAGTACAATAATACAAACAAACAATTGGTCTCAACCCACAAAAACCCAAATGTATAACCCAGCACCCTGGAGCATGAGCAAAGTGGTGTTCCTTGGGCCCCGCTTGAGTCCAAAGTAAAGGGAGAGGGGAAGAACCTGCTGGTGGGAGAGCTGCTACATCTGGCCAAAAGTGGTGATCGCAGTCCAGTGGTGGTTTAAGTCTGGCTGAGCGATGAGATGCAGCCTTCCTCTGGATCCCACGAGTGGGTTAAAAAAAATGTTCCAAGACTCCAAGAATATCCTCCAGTTCAGGCAGGAATGTTCAGTGCTCCCCTCAGGGCGGGGAGTTCCACAAACGGTGTGAGGACAAGAGCATCCTCCTATCTCACAGGCCTCTTAACACCTAGTTTATAGCCTGAGGAGTCAGGCTCTATGGGCAGAGGGTGCGAATAGTCTATTGACAACAATAGTCTAGTTTCTGGGAAATGACATGGAAGGCTATAGAATACAGTTTTGGGTTACACCCACCATGATGAACTGGTCTTCAGCTGTCCTATCTAGGACACCTTCCTATGGGGTGAGAATTGTTCAATATAGAACACTGCTACTTGTTGGACAAATGTTAGTTTTTGTGCTAGGAAAATTCTTCACACAAGGAAGATCCAGTAGCAGTTTAAAATGAGTAGAAACCTTTTTTAAAAACTGGCAGCACAAAAGAAGCAAGGGAGCATTTTGTCCATGTCCTTAACATGGCAGATACTTCTAACTTAAAAACAGGCTGCTGATATTCCAGGACAGACCTGTACCCATCATCTGGAAAGCAGCCACATCTTTTCCATTTGTTTTTGTGAGGGGCTGTTGAGAAATGAATTAAAGTACTGAGACATTTATTATGACCTTTCAAAAGACATACCTAATGTATACTATATCTAGATGAAACCATTATCTAGAAGAAAAAAAGGTGAAAATCTACATTAAGATGAATAATAGGAAAGACAAGTCGACTTACCTTTTGCAAAAGCAAGAACCCACTCAGAATGAAGAAAACAAAGATATTTTTCTCCTGTAGTTTCTCTCCCTCTTTTAAAGACAGATAAGCTGCTTTATAGTCTTGAGTTTTCACTCTCAGCGAAACCATGCTCCTTTCACATAGTTTCAGATTCTTTGGGGATTTTTTGTTACGCATGTTTTTCTGATAGGTACATTCCTTAGACTTCAGACTCAGAAAGACCATTTTATTTTTGGTCCTAAGTGGTGTGGAATGAATTACAGTGCAGGTGAAGGTAAGGTACTCTGAATAAATTGAAGTAATTAGAGCTGGTCCTTAGTTGGTATGAAGTAAGCCCCACGAATACAAACAGATTTTTCATCGCTTCTGGAGCAAGTCCGAAAGGTAAAAGAACTGCAAACATTCAATTATGTGTATGTTAAAGATACAAATAAAAGAGCTCATAATTTTACTTTTTAAATATAAGATACCAAGAGTAACTAAAAAAAAAAATGCTTTCATGTGATAAAGTTGTTCAAATTGTTTATAGGATAAAAGAAGTTGAAGACAAAGTAGCAGGACACTCCATCAGCAAAAAATTATACCCTGCAAAACCACTTACTTAATATGGTAAAAAGTTAGTTAGTCAAAAAGAGCCTGGAAAGACTTACAGTAAGATATGGCACCACATGTAGTTTTGAGCTTATTTTTTGTGTTACTCATTTGGTATAGGTTGGTTGCTATTTATTTTTTTACTTGGAAACTTTCCCATTCCTAGGAGTACCCAAAAGGAGTACAAAACCTAGCTGAGAAGACCCTAAATCCTTATCATTGCTAAGAGACAAAATGCTGTGAACTCCAATTCTGTATTGGGCAGGTCACTGACTGCAAAGAATGACAAGCTTTGGCCCTAAGGCCAGATGCTGGAATTGTACCAGTTCCTACGTCTGTGACAGGACACAAGTGCATGCAAGCTCTCTTTCCCTTAGCTGCAGTTTTTGTGAAAAGGAAACCTAGGCACCTAAGTTGGCAAGGTTACACTGCTCAGGGAAAACCGAATTGTCTCCTCTGGGGCAGATTGCGCTGTTCCCCAAAAAGGTTGACCCCATGTCACCAGAGGGTTATGGAAACCAAGCACACATAACAAATTTGCAATTTAGTTTGGATCTATTCCACATTTGCAAGTCAGTTTTGTTCGTGTGATGCAATTTCTATGTTTGATCCTGAGAGTCTAGTAACCTCTGCTGCTTTTGTAAACAGGGAAATAGCATTCAGTAAATTCCACTAACAATTAGCTTTTGTTAAGGCATGCACAGCGTCTCCTTTCAGGACATTTCATCATGCTATATGTATTATTGTAAAGGACTGTTTAGCAGAAGAAAAAACTAACACAAATTTAAGGAAAATTTAGCTAATATTTGGTCTAAGACAAATATTTAACTTTGGCCCTTTTGAAAAAAATTACATGTTGTTTACAAGAATAAACATTCTAATGTAACTGACAATGTATTTGAAAAGGTGTTCCTGAGGAGTAAGTGCATCATACTGTCACATAAAGCACCAGTGAGAAGAGATGAAATCTCTTAATAACCTGATACTGAACTTTTTTATTTATCTCTACTTTCACTGTTTGGTTTTTGGTTTTTTGTTTTTTTTTTTTTTTTTTACTTCTCATTATTATAATGTACTATTGAAAATGCCACATTTTAAAATTATTTTCAAAAAGCACTTTTGCTCTAAGTTTAGAAATTTAAGCTGGGTTTTTCTAACACCCTACAGTCCTCTGTTTACATCCAATGAATTCTGCCAACATTAAAAAAATACAGCCAAGTACTTAGAATCTTTACCTCTTGAATAAAACTAGAATTTCCTGAGGATGCAACCTAGAAACTGCTTCTGTACTAAGTTCTCTGAGCAATATTCTTAAAAATAGATCAGGCACAGCATGTCAGAAACCACTGATTGCAGTGGATTAACCTTTTTCTTCATAGGCTGACCTATTGCAGAGAAAAATCTTCACCAGAAAAGAACCAGGGCATACACAAGCATGGCTGTAAGTTTTCTGCAAGCAGAATGTAAGTCCTAAAATGAAATACGCTCCTATGTTACTAAGCATAAAATCTTCACCTATTCTAAGGATTTAAATTAGGATCTGCCCTTGGCTCTTGCAAGGTTCCTCTTTAATTTCTGCTTTCAAACATATTGTGGAACTGCTGGGGAAAATCAGCAGCAACTCCTGAAAGCAGTAAAGCACT